TGGAAAGACATGGTGAGAAAGATGCTTCCTCCTGGAGCTCCTCTCCCTGAAAATCCATCGGAATTCGATTACTCCATAGCCATAGAGTACACAGGTCCTACTCCTGTACACTCAATCCCTAGAGTTTCACCTCTTGATGTTCATCATCATCCTCGAGTGAACAACCCCATCCCCTTGCCTGTCTCTCGTATAGCCGGAGGAGTCACTAGCTCTCCAGGTCAGAGCCCTAGAGGTTCACCAGCTAGCTCTGAGTCTGTGGTCTCCGTGTTGCACAACAACGCTGAATCATCCTCTGGCTCAGCTTCTGTTTCGCCAGTCTCTGCTCACAGACCAAATGGGCATCAGGTTCGGAGACCCGTTGTGAAATTCAAACCTGTTGAGAGTAGGAATGAGAATAATGTGGAGACAGATTCAGAGAGGGAGAGGAATGTTCAAGAGTGTACGAAGATACCAAAGAAGAAGAAGAAGAAGAAGAGAGAGTGTTCCAGATGTGGAAAAGCTAAATGGGAAAAGAAAGAGACTTGTATAGTGTGTGATGACAAGTACTGTGGGAACTGTGTGCTTAGAGCGATGGGTTCAATGCCTGAAGGACGGAAGTGTGTGAGCTGCATAGGCCAGGCTATTGACGAATCTAAACGGTCTAAGTTAGGGAAACATTCGAGGGTGTTGGCGAGGTTGCTTAGTCCTTTGGAAGTTAAACAGATCATGAAGGCGGAGAAGGAGTGTGCAGCTAATCAGCTGAGACCTGAGCAGCTGATTGTGAATGGTTGTCCGTTAAAGCCTGAAGAGATGTCTGAGTTGCTTAACTGTGCTTTACCGCCTGAGAAGTTGAAACCGGGTAGCTATTGGTACGACAAAGAGTCTGGTCTATGGGGCAAGGAAGGAGAGAAACCAGATAGAGTCATAAGCTCTAACTTGAACTTCACCGGGAAGCTATGTCCACATGCTAGCAATGGGAACACGGAAGTTTATATGAATGGTCGAGAGATTACAAAGCTTGAGTTAAGAATCTTGAAGGTAACTTTTAAATGTTAGTCTTGTTTTAAGTATCACTTGTCCGGAGGACAATAGTGTATACTAAACCTTGTGTGTTGTGTATATATATATCTCAGATAGCAAATGTACAGTGTCCACGTGATACTCATTTTTGGGTGTACGATGATGGGCGTTATGAGGAAGAAGGGCAGAATAACATCCGAGGAAACATTTGGGAGAAGGTAATGTAATAACTTTTTATCAAATTCTTGTAAAGATCGGCTGTTTTTTGTGAGAAGCATCATCAGTTTGTTCGGTTTTGTCTTAAACAGGCATCTACAAGGTTCATGTGTGCGCTGGTTTCTTTACCTTTTCCCCATGGACAACCTCGAGGAACGGTACAACCACCTAGCACTCATGTTACTGTTCCGAATTATATTGAGCATAAGAAGATTCAGAAGCTTCTACTTCTTGGCATTGAAGGGTCTGGAACTAGCACTATATTCAAACAGGTACTGTTTTTGATAAAAGAGAGAATCTGCAGATTTGGATGGTTACTTATTTGTTTGATTTGAAAACAGGCCAAGTTTTTGTATGGAAACAAGTTTACGGTGGAGGAGCTTCAAGAGATAAAGCTGATGGTACAGAGCAATATGTATAGATATCTCAGTATCTTACTCGATGGAAGAGAACGTTTTGAAGAGGAAGCTTTATCTCATATGAGAGGTTTAAACGCTGTTGAAGGAGATTCAGGAGGTACTATTTTTTCTTTTTTTTTTTGGCAAATGATAAAAAGTTGATTCTTGTTTTATCAGTTTCTTGATTTTCTTGAAATGGTTCTTGCAGGTGAGGAAGCAAACGAGAATGTCTATACCTTGAACCCGAGGCTGAAGCATTTCTCGGATTGGCTTCTAGATATCATTGCAACTGGTGATCTTGACGCGTTTTTCCCAGCTGCAACACGTGAGTACGCTCCCTTGGTTGAAGAAGTGTGGAAAGATCCGGCGATACAAGCCACCTATAAACGCAAAGACGAGCTTCATTTCCTTCCTGATGTTTCAGAGTACTTCTTGAGCCGGGTAGGGACATATAATTTGTGTTCATGGTTCTGTTGTTACAGTGTTTTAAAACCAGACTGACCCGATGGTTGGACCAGGTTCGACCGTGAACCGGACAAGTAGCTGGGTTGGGTCTAATATCTGGTTCGACCATGAACTGAGTCACGTAACCGGATTAGATCTCAAAGTTATTGAATTGGATAAAAACCAATATAACTATCAAAAATACATAAACCAACCATATGAACAAAAGTCTAGGCTATATTATACTTTTTTCATATTTGAATTATGTATTATATTTATTAATATTACTTTTAAATTTATGTATCAAAAGTATTAAATCAGGTTTGACCTGGTCAAACCATATTGAACCGTTGGTTTTAAAAACATTGGTTGTTATAGTTTCATAAAATGTTTTAACTTGGGTTTTTCATTTGCAGGCTATGGAAGTGTCTAGCAACGAGTATGAGCCTTCAGAGCGAGATATTGTGTACGCAGAAGGCGTCACACAAGGAAATGGATTAGCTTTCATGGAGTTTTCTCTCACCGAACAGAGTCCTTTGTCTGAATCTTACCCGGACAACCCTGACGTCTTGTCCCCTCCTCAGCCAAAGTATCAGCTGATACGAGTAAACGCAAAGGGGATGAACGATAGCTGCAAATGGGTAGAGATGTTTGAAGACGTACGAGCAGTCGTCTTCTGCATCAGCTTAAGCGACTACGACCAGATCAGTATCACACCTGAGGGCAACGGAACAGTCAACTTCCAGAACAAGATGATCCAGAGCAAAGAGTTTTTCGAGTCAATGGTTAAGCATCCTAGTTTCAAAGACACGCCTTTCGTGTTGATCTTAAACAAGTATGACCTCTTCGAGGAGAAGCTAAACCGGTCTCCGTTAACATCTTGTGACTGGTTCAGCGAGTTCTGTCCCGTGAGGACGAACAACAACGTGCAGTCACTTGGTTACCAAGCTTACTTTTATGTCGCCATGAAGTTCAAGCTGCTTTATGCGTCGCTCACGGGTCAGAAACTGTTTGTGTGGCAAGGTAAGGCTAGGGACCGAGCCAATGTGGATGAAGGGTTTAAGTATGTGAGAGAGGTTTTGAAATGGGAGGAAGAGAAGGAAGAGAGTTACTTAAATGGTGGAGAGGATTCTTATTATAGTACTGATATGAGTTCTTCGCCGTATAGACCGGAAGAGTGACAAAGATGTATGTCGCTCGCTTTGGAGGAAACGATTGATTGATCATTTGTTGTAACTTTTATGTTAGATTTGTTTTTTCGGTTTAGGTTTTTTTTTTTTTAAAAAAAAAATTGAGTGGAATAAGGTTTTAATGTTATCAAATGTGCAAGTGTTAAACCATAATTCATATTTTAGATGAAATTCGTTGAGTGTTTTGTGGGCTATGTCATCATTTGCACATAGTAAGTCAATCTATGGAAACTTTGATTACCTTTTGAATGGAGAAAAGAAACAAAGAGAACTTATTGAATAGTTTGTGTGTTTCCCGTGGACTATATGCGGAAAACCTGCAATTGACAAATTGTCTTGCGGAAAGGATATATGCATGTTAAGATACCATGCAAAATTAGCTTTAGCTAGAAGTGGAAAAAATGACGAGTAGCAAAACCTTTCTACTCAAGATGACAGCTCTCACATCTTTTCAACAGAAACAGAGCAGTTACATTCAGCTAATGTGTGTTACATTGATATGTTTCCTGGTCTTCCTCGGATCCTATATCCGGTTCACGCTTCAGTTTTATTGATGCAAGAAAAGCGAGTTGCTGACATTTTGACAGAAACTAAACCCTAAAGGTTAAAACTGACGGAATGTAATGAACTTTTGGTTGGAAAAAAAATCAAAATATAGAACTTCTCAACATAAAATGGTGTTCATTTTTTGTTTGGGGAAGAATCCTTAACAAAATACCTAACTATGACAAATATTGGTGATTTAGGAATATGTATTATCAATTTATGGACGCGAACCGATCTTTAAACCGTTTTAGTGCATTTGAGTGAATCAAATAAAGACAAATACAAATGATCGAGAAGTTATCTGACTACCGAATAAATATATATATATATATGTTTTTTTTTTGGCATCATATATATGTTATTTGAAGATGTAGATAATCAGTAAATTGTTATGATCTTTTTGGACAAAGAATAATTGGTTGATATTTATATCTATACTATTAAAGCTGAAGTACAAAAATTAAGTGTTTGGAAACATGAATAGTAAGTATTTAAAAGTAAGATGATTGGAAACAAGGATAGCCTACAAATCAAATCTAATGGGCTTACTTATTAAATTAAAAATTACTGCGGCCCAAAGTACCATTATTATTGTTTTTGGATTTTCTATCCTTGATATTATTTTATTTATGAAAATTATGTATACATATATGTACTCGTGTTTTAAATATATGTGGAATAAATCAAGAATAATATATATTTTATTTATATAATTTATATTGATTATTGTTAAAAGTTTTTAACAGTAATATACTAGCATTCCAATTCTTCATTAAAAATGAACTTAAAAATTTGACTAAATTGTTTAGTGTATATAATTTTTCACCAAATTTAGTCAAATTTTTTTTATAAAATATTACTAAAATATTTACGGGTCACAACATTTTACCGACGTCCTGTTACACAATTCAGTGATGAAATACAATGTTTAAACAATATACTATTACTTAGTAAAATTGGAACCGTAAAATTGTAATTTTTAAAATATTTATATATACCTTAAAAACAAAGAGCCGCCCGGTCGGGCGGGTTATGATCTAGTTTATATTTTAAATTAGAGAGTCTGGTGAGCTCTATCAACACAATCATGCGAGTCATGAGAGTAACTTCAATTCAAAGCAAAGGTCTCTCTAGTTTTCTTCTTACCCTCATCTCTTCTTTCTTTTTGTGCATTCTATTTATTGTCATCATTTCAACTCTCTCAAGCCCATATTTACCATTTTAAGAAAAAAAAACAAAGAGTACTAAAATGGGTCACTTGAAGCTCTCGAGTCTTCTCCTTGTTGTTCTTTTGATACTTAACATTCTTCTGGTTTCTGCAGATACTACAAGCACTCAAGTCAATTATGTGATGGACCGTGCAGCTACAAGAGGGAAACTGGTCGCTGGATTGCCTCGGAGGGCAAGGATTAACCACGGGAGCTATCGTGGGCCGAGGAAACATCTAGTGAATCCCACCGTGGTACAAGATGCTTACACAGTTCCTGAGTCTTCAGCTTGAATGGAAGAACTTATCAAACAAGATCAGTTTGTAGTAGCAAGCAATATAACACAACGAATAAAGATGCTATGTATTTTCTTCATGTTGAAGTAAAAAGCTAAAGTGGATAAACAAAGTTTGTTTGAGTTTGAAAGTACTTTTTCTCTCTTATTACTTTAGTAGAACTCAATGAATATTACCCTGCAAAAGTTAAAGCCTAAAGGACAAATCAGTCCTAAAACACACACATTAATCAAGATCAGTCAAGGTGATTTAAAGTTCCCTGCTCTTACCGGTTTTCTAAAACTAGGAAAAATCATGAATCAAGATCAGTCAAGGCGTTATAAAAACAAAGAACAAGGCTATACAAGTGAAAGAAAAGACCTATCAGTGTAGATTATTGGTACTGTGCTATATAAAGAGCATAAGCTCTCAGTGGACCTTAGTTGCGTATATAATATATAACATTACACTATGATTTGGTATTGTTCTTCCACAGACAAAAGTAAAAGTGTAAATACTAGAAACACATAGATTCACAAGGGGTTGAAGGAACAAGGTTGTATCCGTGTGATGATATCTTATAAAACTATTGAACTTTATTTCATCCGTTCTTGGATGCTACCGCCTGCATAGCATTGCATTCTTCTAGCAGATTTAGCAAGTTGTGTTCAGGGGCACTGAGTGATGGCAAGATGGAACGGTTTGGCTGGCTCGGGCGAGGCGGTTTTGGTGCTGATCCATCAGATTCAGCAGACATCTCATCTTTAGCAATCTGCAAATCACCTTTTCTCCTCATAGATGCTGATACTCTCTCCTTCCAGATTCTTCCATCCTGTTTCATGAAAACATTACAAGCTTTCTGTGAACAGCTAAACTTGGATCAACAAGGAACCAAAGTCTTCTTCGTGGATCTTACATTTAGAATGGATGGTTCGGGTAGTGGACACTGGATCGGTTGATCATTGTCCAAAGGCTCGACCGGATGTTCCACCGGTTTAAACTCTGTTGCTACCTCAATTCCATGAGTAGCAGTTGTGGTAGTAACATCAGGATTTGGAGCTAATACTTCCTTATCATCCTGACAAAAGCCATGTTTCAAGAACTCAAAAGTTGCAAAAACCCAGTTCATAGAGTTGACATAAGGCTAAAGCTTTTAAATCTGAAACTGAAATAGAAGGAGTTGTGAAACAGTATAGTAGAATCTAATCTTGAGATCTCAAAATTCAAACTAAAGGCGAGACTTTTACACCGTTTTGGACCAAACAAAGATCTAAAACATGTAGTTAAAGAACAGAAGGTCAATAAGAATGAATCCAAACCAAGATAAAGAGAGCTTACGATTGCACTTTGAGTCCGTCTATGGCTGCTTCTACCGACAGAAAATCTTGAAAAAATACCAACCATGGTTTGATTGAATCTGAAGTCTGCTTGTGATCTTTAAAGACGAACTCCCCCTTTGATCTTGACTTCCAAGAAAGAAACAATTAAGAAGAAGTATGTCCCAAAGCAAAGGAAGACGAAGAAAGAAAGACAGAGGATTTGATTTGAGCTATCTTCAACCACTTATAATGAAGGAAGGTGTCGCTTTATATCTCCACAAGAAACGTAGTGAATGTTATGATAAATGCTTTTTTTCTTTCTTTTTTGGTTTTCTAAGCCTTGTGATTGGCTTAAGCATATTCTTCTTACATTGTTTACTTTTAGTTCTTTCTTTTTTGTCCCTCGGCTTTTCTTGGATTTGGTAAATCTAATTTATCATTTAGTGATGGATGATGTATTTTTGTTGTGTCTAATTGATGTATAAGAACAAAGACTAGTTGGGTTATTTAAGAAATTTTGTTGAGTAAAGATAACTTTGTTATTCATGTCACTATCCAACTTAAGCCTGACTGAAATAACAAAAAAAAATTGCTTAGGAATTAAAAAGTAACATGTGTATGGAATCTATGGATGTCATCAATACACACAATACTTAACTGTATATAACATATTTTAAAATGGATCGAAATTTTACTTGGTCAAACTAACTACTCTGCAGAGTGGATATTAATAAACAATCTACATCCCATATCTGCTTAATTCATAATCATTTTAAATATTATAATAATTTATAAATTGAAGAAATCTTGTATATGCATGATTATTGGGGTTTTGTTAAGGATGGGTTCTTAACGGAATTAAGAAACCGTTTCATAGTTTTTAATTAAAAAAATTAAGAACTGGTTCTTTAATAAGAGTTTTAAAACCTGATTTTTAGTTTTTTTTTTTAGCTAAAAGTTAATAGACGATTTTTCAATCCCGCTAAGAACCCCACCCATAAGAAATTCCAAATAATCATGCTCTCAAGATCTCTAGGCTACATGAATATTTTCAATAGACTCTCAAATCTTAAAACTTAAGGTTTTTGACTTTCCAACAAACCCTCCAACCTTCGACGTCGAAACGAAGTAAACCTTAAGATCAAAATACAAATTAATTGAAAGAATATACCTTGAATAGTTTGTAAACATCATCTAACTCTTCAACGTGTGTAAACTCTGTGCAAAGTCCCATACTAAAATCTTCCACTAGAAAGATTCATACAACATGAATATGGTCATAACTTAGTATTATATTTTTTTAGATCGTTCCTTGACAATCATGTAAACAAGTGTAACAAGAAAATTGAGATAGATGAAATTTTACCCTGACAATCATGTGGTTAACAACAAAGCACAACTTCAAATTAGAATCTTTGTGTAAGAGGACCACCTTTGACTTGATCTCCTTCATAAGTCTCTACAAGGGTGTCTTTGTGGACAGAGAGTTTGAGCTTCATTTCTTGAATCATCATTTCATCCTTGTTTGTGGATGCATGTAAGACATTAAAAATATAGTAACATATAGATTATTAGCAAGAAACAATAGTTTCGTTACAGTTTCCTTAAGAAGAGTTCTTTATTTATTATTTATATTTTCTTTAGATCGTTCATTCAAAGTTTCTTTTAACTCGTTGTCATTCTTAATTTCCATCCATTTTTTGGGACCATACTTGTTCAGACCTTGTAGCATTGCACTGGTTTCATCTTCAGACCACTAACGATACCAACGCTTCTGAATCTGAAAAGAATACAAAATGTAAGTGGGGTTCTTACACAAGAGAGATAACGATTGTAGTTCACATATGGAACGAGGAATGAATGATGAGACTATGAATGAACTCTAAATCCAAAACAGTTATATTTCACATACTTATGATTGAGTTAACAATGCGGCAATGAATTAACAATTAAGTCAAAAGGATTCTGTATCACATAATTAACAATGAAATCAGACAATTAACGATTGTGTTTTAAATACCTCCTCCGCCATTTTCAAGTTTGAATATCCTTGAAACTAGTTACTCTGAAACAGTAAATCAAAAATTATATCAAATATACAAAATCTAAAACCTAACGATTATGTGTTAAGCTTAGAGGGAGGATAACAGATCAGGTCTCAGATTCATGAAACAAGTAACAGAATACGAGAAGATAGGAGAGGAAGGATAGTAGAAAAAGAAGAAGAAGAGAGAGAGAGAGAGAGAGAGAGAGAGAGAGAGAGAGAGAGAGAGAGAGAGAGAGAGATTTTAATATTGCTTATGTATATCTTTCTAACCAAACGGAAATAACCTTAAGTAGTCAATGCATAATCAAAACGACATCACAAAAATGTTTCTTTATTTAATAAAACGTAAACAAGACAAAAATTTATATTGTTTCATCACGTCTGTCTTGCAACTTCATAGAACTTATTGATAGTTGAGTGAACAATGCGACAATGAATGATCGATTGTATTTCACATTGATAATTGAGAAATTACCTATAATATGTAAATGAGTGAGGAATTGTATTTAACATATTTAACATTTAGTGAACAATGCGATAATGAATTAACAATTAAGTCAAAAGGATTGTGTATCACATAATTAACAATGAATGAACAATGAGACAATTAACGATTGTGTTTAAATACCTCCTCAACCATTTTCAAGTTTGAATATCTTTGAAACTAGCTACCCTGAAACAGCGAATCAAAAAACAAATCAAATAAAAACAATTCAAAACCTAATGATTCTGTGTTAAAACTCAAAGAGAGGATAACAAATCGGGTTTCAATTTTACGCAACAAGTAACAAAATAAGAGAAGACAAGAGAGGAGGGAGAGTAGAAGAAGAAGAAAGAGTGAAGGAGATATTTTAATATTGATTTTGCATATTTTTCCCCACAAACGAAAATAACCTTAAGGAGCCAATACATCATCAAAACGATATCACAACATTGTTTCCTTATTTAATTAAAATGTAAACAAGGCATACATCTAAATTTCCAACATTTTTTCTTTATTTATTCAAAACTTAAGGTTTTTGACTTTCCAACAAACCCTCCAACCTTCAACATCGAAACGAAGTAAACCTCAAGATCAAAATACAAAGTAATTGAAAGAATATACCTTGAATAGTTTATAAACATCATCTAACTCTTCAACGTGTGTAAATTCTGTGCATAATTCCATACTAAAATCTTCCACTAAAAAGACTCATACAACATGAATATGGTCATAAATTAGTATTATATTTTCTTTAGATCGTTCCTTGACAATCATGTATACAAGTGTAACAAGAAAATTGAGATAGTTGAAATTTTACCTTTACAATCATGTGGTTAACAACAGAGCACAACTTCAAATTAGAATCCTTGTGTAAGAGGACCACCTTTGACTTGATCTCCTTCATAAGGTTTGTACAATGGTGTCTTTGTGAACTGAGAGTTTGAGCTTTATTTCTTGAATCATCATTTCATCCTTGTTTGTGGATGCATGAAGAACATCAACTTTGATAGAAAAAAATTGATTGGGTAGATGTATCGCTTCTTCTTCATTCTCTTGTTCGCCCTCTTCTTCATTCTGCTGCTGTTTAAGGAAGCTTTCCTATAAAAGGATAAAAATGAAGTAACATATAGATAATAAGCACGAAACAATAGTTTTGTTACATTTTCTTTAATAATAGTTCTTTAATTTTCATTTATACTAGATGCATAGTCCCCGCGCTTGATGCATAGTCCCCGCGCAAGCGCGGGGGTTGGATACATTGTTGATGTGTTGTGTAGTTTTGTGTATGAGACTTTGCTGGTTTTTTTTTAACATTTGTTTATCTGGCTTATCTATAATGGTGATGAATG